CTTGCGATCCTGGCAGTATAAGTACTCTGGGCAGAGGGCGCTATCCTGTTCTGCTGCGAGGGTGCTTGGGGCTTACAAGCGAGCTCCGGGAAGGTCATAGATATCGATGACGACTTTGGACCACTGGGAGAGGGTATAATAGCGTCTATTTCATTGCGGGAGGCTCGGTGACGATCGATATATCCTCAGGAATAATGATGCGCAGCCGCGTCGGGATATCTGGGGGTGCGGTATCTGGGTGTTGCTGGATATGCGTAATTTGTGCTCGTCACGTACATTGAATTGTAAGGTGAGTGCGAGGGAGGACGACCAGGCCGGAGGAATCGTGGCCGTCGACGTCCGAGTCCCTTCATAAGCGGTCTTTCGGTGAGGCTGTGACGGGTAGCGATTTTGAGCATGTTCGGGTTGGTGTTTAATCGCCAAGCCTGCATTAAGCCAGTCACAAATAGGCTTCAAAGCTGTATTCACGTCTTGGCAGCTGTATGAAAAGCAGCAAGGGTCAAGTGAACATCGTTGCTTGTCGGCTTTCGATCACTGTTCACGCGACGTGGATGGCGGCGAACTAGTACGTATCAAGACTATTTAGTATTTTCATTGTAGCGTTGCTACATTGCGCAATCAGACATCCAGGTTCTCGCAGTCGTTGATGGTTTGGCCGGCGTGTGCGTAGGAACAAGTCGATTTTGACATGGGAGTAGGAGGAGGAAAAGCACAGCGCGCTACACGGGCGCTTGTCTCTCCTCAGCGTTGGACTCGTGCCGCCCACGTCTTTCTGAGTTCGCTTGCTGTCGAGGTCGCCTCGTCATTCTCGTCGATGACGTCACGCGTCGCGCGCGCGAGACCTGCGATTGGCCCGCCACAGACGCCGGCGTCTCTCTCTTGCCACTGTCGACGCGATCCGCCGTGCTCTCGGTCTTCCACCGCTCTCGACGCCCTCGCTGCTGCGTGAAACTCACCCCGTAGCGATTCGATACAGCTCGACTGCTACGTGTATGTACTGCTCTCGACTCGCTCGCGCGCGATGTCGTCCATTCTCCTCCCGAACACCGCTGGTGAGTCCAGATCGACAATACACAGAAATTGTCGCTTACCACGCATCTCTAGCGCAGATACTGCGCAAACGGTCGACTCCCTGGCCGTTTCACGCCGCGCAGAGCATGCGTACGCTGCAAGATGTTTCGTTTTTCGTCAATAAGCAGCTTCATCTCAGCGCGCGCCTACTTACCGGACTAACCCAGCATACTCCCACACGACAAAGCCATCAAATACGGTCAGTTGGGCTCCTTTCGCGGCGGAAATAGAGTACTTTCTGCACCCTACTCGCCGTTCAGTTCATGCGTGCATTCCAACGCATCCCGCGCATCTCTCGACTTTGAAGAGGTCGTTGTGTTGCATCGACACGTTTCGCGCGATCCGTAGCTCGCGTCATCCGGCGTTTCCCTCGTTTTCCTCGTACTCGCGGAATCTGTGTGCCTGTCGAACGCGTACAACGGTGAGCAGAAGCTAAATCAAGGAGAGCAACAGCTTACCTGACGACTTCTGCATGCAGTGGATCTATCGGGCATAGTCAGCGACACTCGGGCGGTCGAGCACTCACAGTGTTCGGTTCTCATCCGCGTCTCCCCGCGCATGTGAGTCGTGCAGAAGCGGGATAAGCGGCGGCCAAATGGCATGCAGACAACATTGGCATATCCTGGGCGACGACGGGCACGCCGCAGGAGGGGGTGAGTATGCGAGAGGTGAGTGTGCGAGTGCAAGAGACGAGGGGAAGCGTCAGGGGAGGTGCTGAACGAAACGAGCCCATGCTGCGTGCTTATAACTGTTTTTCAGGGTGCAAACAATCGTGCACGGACCAGATCAAACCCCAGCGCGAGCCCGGACCCTCGCCAGGTGCGTACGCCGTATGCGAGCCACGATAGACGGAGCAGGTGCGCCGCTGTCCGTGAACCCTCAAACACGTCCGAGTGACCGCGCCTCCGCTTCGCGCGAGCGGGAGATCACGATCCGACACGGATCCTGCGCCGCGCCCGCCATCTTCGCCGTCCTCGACTCGCCGTCTGCCCGCTCTCGTGTCTCGTAAGACATATCCGTCCGCGGCACGATGGCGGGCACCGTGCCGCACCACTTGCTGACAGGGACTCCGCAACGGTGGCCGGATTCGCGGGCGTGGAGAGCAGGGGACGAGGACGAGGCCCGGGAAGATCTCAAGCCGCCGTTACGGGAGATTCGGACGAGCCGAATGAGCGTGGCAAGGCGAAACAAACGGAGCGAGGGTGGATGCGACGGGCGCCGAGTACGAGTGCACCAGCGTCCAATATCGCTTCGCCCTCGCTCCGCGATATGCCAAATCTGGGGCGGGCTCGATGCACGCGCGCGGACCCACTGTGTCTCCGGCAGTCACTGTGGGTCCGGTGTCACAGCTGCGGTCGGCAAAGACGCGGAGAGACCCTGAACGCGATACGGCCGCGGCGTACTCTTCTGGGAGCAGTCTGGGAGTGTACGTGCGTCGGCGACGTCGTGTGTGTGCTGCAGTATCTGGCGGAAGCAGGAAGACAGCGACACTCCTGAGCGAGGGCTGAGCCAACGGGCAGAACCCTATCAGGGCTGGATGCCTAGCGCATGCGCACGGTCGTGCCCCCGTCTCGACGTCTCCACCGATCGTCAGGGTGTCGGTACGTACAGGGTCCTTTCGCGTCCCTGAGCATCTGGGCACGATGCGCACGTGGAGATGGCGCTACGAGTGCGCCGCGCGCGCCATGTACGGGAGCTTCTGGGCGCGCAGATGCAGAGTACACACGCGGGGATGGCGGCGCGAGTGCGCCGTGTATGGGAGCTTCTACAAGGGGCATGGCGGCGCCAGGACGCAGCTGAGGGCGTGCACTTGCACGCCTTCGTCCGTGGCCAAATAGATGCGTGTGGACAAGCGTGGAATGGTAGTAAAGCAGGACGACGCCCGCCTGCGCGTCGCAGGGCATTGCTGCGATACCAACGCATTACCTTCAAACACGACGGTTTCCTGGGCATCGGGAGCAATGCCTACGACTGCGGTGCACCCTTCCGCCATGGAGCAGTCTGGGTGTGCATGGCCGTCGGCGATGCACGGGTGCCGTTTCGAATGCAGCATTGCACAACGGCAGCAAGTCGGCGGCTGCGCTACCGCTTCTAACCCAGGGTCTGAGCTCATGAGCCGAGCACCGTCGGGGCGGGACATCTGGCGCATGCGCGCCGTCGTGCCGTGCATCACGCCGTCTCGACGTCGAGTCCACCGATCGCCAGGGTCTCGGTACGTACAGCATCAGCCCGCATCCCTGAATTTTCGGGTGCGCATGCGGCATGCACACACAGGGGTCGCGGTGTGAGTACGCCGCGAGCAGACCCTGTGCCTACCGTGTATGGGAGTTTTTACGACGAGCAACTCGGTGTCGAAGTGCAGATGCGCACCCTGGCTGGCAGGTCTGGCTCTGGACTCGAGTGCGTGCAGAGCGGGGAATGGAGGCAGACGGGACGGACACCTGACTGCGCGCTGTGTGACATTGCCGCAATACTAACACGCCGCCTTCGAGCACGGTGATCGCGGTATTGGGAGCATCACAAGGTGCTCGGAGGGTTGATGTCCCGGAATCATGGACACAATGTCGTGCAGAGGTAAGCCTGCAGGATTATGTCGAAGAGTCCCGCCGTGCTGAACTTGTATCGAGCAGAGTATCGTAAATATCAAGAATCTATGTACTTCTACCGCTCTGCGTGAGGGAGGTGCGTGTTCCCGGGAAATTGAGACGAGTCTGGTCCATAAGGTCGGAGAGCTGCAGCGTCGCATGGAGCGCGCCGGCGTGATCCCATGACACACCGTATACTCGTCCGAAACAGGTACACTCGATCCTCGCTTTTCATCCTGCCACTCGGCCGCCACAGCGTTGCATGTACGGCCGAGAACGCACATAAGAGGCCGACCGTTTCCCAACGTTTTGGTCACTGACGACATGCATGGAGATGCGTTACTTTGCACTCGGGCGACTGTACGATCGCGACGGAGACTTGGATCGAAAAGGCTGTCGGTAAGTGCACACTTCGTGCGAGCCCTGTTTTTGGCGATGGCTAACTCGGCAGTATCCCAGATAGCCGGGACTTGTGATTGTGCTTCCTCTCGCCGTACGAGCATGCATTAGTGGTGCTGGAGCGAGAGCGGACCCATCTCGTGCTTGCATGTAATGTCTCTAACGAGTCCAGCGGCGCGAACACTGATGACGGAGAGCACCCTCTTGTGGACGATGTGTCAACCCTCTTCTCATTTGGAAATCGCACGGACGGCTCATGAATCGCTACAGTGGGTGGCGCGATGCT